GAGCCAGTATATTTTCAGGTGCATTGTAAAAGGTATAAAAAAGACTACTGAGTTGGCCTCTTTCCTGCCCTGTTTCTCTAGGCTGTGGATTTACAACTAAAAGGAGCATATTGAACTAAGAATTTTCCAATCTTTTGGAAGTTACCAGAGAGACTTTACAAGCCAGCAGTCTATACCCTCACTGCTACAACCCTGATATGAGAACTTGGCAATTATTGTATGTATATGATCTATTAATCATTTAACTCTTCTTCCTTTCTTTTATTAATAAACATTTAGTCACTAAAGGATTGGCATTAGCGTGATTATTGGGTAGCATCTGAGTTATAGATAGATATATATATAGAGAGAGCACTGATCTCTTGGGATTAGAAGGCCCCTAGATATGATTAAATTGGTTTTCAAGTAACCCCTCAGAGTCCAAGGGCTGGAATGCCTAAGGAGACTACATTTCTGACTTCCTGATAACCAGTGTGGTGAGACAGAAGTTTACTTTTGTTACTGGCTTGGTTTAATCTAATGATAGAATAACCACCAGTTTGGGGTGTCTGCCCTATTTCTCAATATGTCTTGAATCTGGTATTCTCCGCTGTGACCCACTGAGGCACGATGACAACTCAGTTTCTCTTTCCTTATTTCTAAAAATGGGGATAATGACAACTCTCTCATATACCGGACTGTTGTCATACTAAATTAATTAGTGTCTGAAATACTGGTTCTCATGTATAAAGTAATATAGAAGTGCAAAGCATATATATTGGCATAGTGTTTGAACTGGTGAGGTAATTTAGTATTGATTCAGAGTAGGGACAAACTGGTTCATTAAAAAAAGAAAGCCCACATCTTAGCAATATATATTTTACAATTTGGATCTGTATGTGTAACTTAGCCTACCTCACACCCACCCTTCTAATCAACAGTCCTTCCCTCTCTCTATAGGTTTCCTGGCCTTTCTGCTGTTTTCCACCATCGTATCACTTATTAGTGATCACATCATAGGCTTTAGGAGACTTCCAGACTGTTCTTTTTTTCCTTTCAAATCTCACAGGTAGTGTGGTTGGCCACTGAGAAACATATAACAGAGCTAATGACTTTAAGACCCAGAGAACATGAAATAGGGATTGTGTAATGAGGCACAGCACAAAAACTGGCGATTATATTGGGCCTCAAAATGGGATCAAAGTTGGAGGCAGGAGGGGGGAGATCATAAATCTAGGAGAAGTAACAGGTAATGACAAAGTTGATGCAGGACTGTGGGGCTTGTGCAAGTTATAGGAACTGAGCATGGAGACACTGAGAAGCCAAGCAGTGGAGCTGTGAAAGGAAGGATAGGATTAGAGGACTTCACTAGCTGCAGACAGACAACCCAATATTTGGTGCTTATCTCAACTCAACGTTTTGATGTGCTCCCATCTCTAATTCTTAGTGTGGAGAAGAGGCCAATGAAAAGAAACACACAGAATTTCTAAGAATTAGTTGACAGACTAGCAGATATCCTACTCATTTTAACTGCATTAGTATATCAAATGAAGTGGAAAATAAGTAGCTAAGTAATATTAATGCTCACAGCAAACAGAATTTTAAATTAATAAACATTAATATATTAATTTACTTCTCATTGTGCAATAGTAAGGGATGTTAATGTTTCATGTACATAAAATGCCATGTCATGGTGTGACAGAGCAATCCACCACTAAGAAAAAGAATAGACAAAGGTGGGGGCCACTGAACAATTAACCCAGAAGGATATTCCCTAAATATCAAACCCCTTTTCTTTCTGTTGCCCATTGCATTAGAGAAAAAAGATAAGGCCACTCTTTCAGTCTCGGGAGAATATTTTCCTTATTTCAGGAGAAAGCACTAGAGAAGCAAGTACTGGCCTACGCACTGCTGAAATAGGCTAGCTTGGAATCATGTGAGGGCTTCTGGGATGGAAGCACATTTACCACCTCACATAGTGGCAGAAATACCTTGCTGCAAGTCCCCTATTGAGATGAAGGATGGTTCTTGCAGTTTATCTTACATTTGTTTTATTTCTCTATTTTCCTTTCCTTCTGGCATCTTGTTGTTTCATGGGGACTTAGTGTCACCACCCCCATTCGTCTAGCCATCCAGAATGGGTTACTTTTACTTACACACACACACACACACACACACACACACACACACACACACACACACAACGTAACAAAGAAAAAT